GTTTTGCACGTAGCTGGATTAATCTAGCGATTATTCTAGCGACTGGCCGGTAAGGCGATCGAATAGTCGTTATTAGAACTGATCTCAAACTGCACTTGTAATTTCCATAGCCGTTAAGCGTTAATCGCTAATGAATAATTGTGAGCTGTGAAATACGATGAAAATGGGAACGTCGCGCATATTATCCGGCGAGAAACGCCTGGGATCGGAGCTGCGTCGAAAGTAAACTTAATTCCCGCGCGATACAATTGATTCGAAGTCCTTCATTCAGTCAATCAGAAAAGATAATTTTCGCGAGACTTACTCAGGCACACTTGAGGCTTTGCGAATTAAGTTTCAAGAGCAGAAATTGATAGCGAATACCTCGTTATGCGTTTAATCGCAAGCGAATTTGGCTTCAATGGGATCTTAATTTGACGCTTAATTACCAGGGTTTCTTCTATATCGGAGATTAAGTGGCTGCGTAACGATTGATTCTTTTCGCGAAGTTTCATGAAAGAGAGATCGCGCCAATTTTTTCACGTTCGATCAGATATTCATCGAGAAAGAGTCGACGTGGCGCGGATTGCTCGAAGAATCCATTCCTAAGAGTGCGTCTCACGAATTTCCACACGTAGAATGCGCATGTACGTAAAATAGATTCTAACGAGCAGACAGGAGTGGTCACCCAGCAAGATGGGAGATTCACATACGAATGTCTCTCATGCGCGGTCACACATACGCGAAATTCATGCAACGTTATCCCGTTAGTCGACATTCATCGGCTTCGACTTCATCTCCGGCTACCTCCGTCTCGTTTTCTTCTTTCTTTCTTTTCTCTCTCTTTCTCTCTCTCTCTTCCTCTTTTTTTCTTTCTTTCTGTCTCTCTTTCTCTATCTCTTCTTCTCTTCGGCCGTTCGCCAATAAGAGAAGTTAGAGAGGGCTTGCGTCCATTTCGTTCGCTGTGCCCAGTTATGCGGACTGTAACGGAATCGGCCGGCCGGCTAAATTTACCGCGGCCTTATCGATCACACTGCCGACTTTCGGTCCTCGTCGACGATACTTTTTATTTTGCCGTAAATCTCTGGGAAAAAAAAAAAAACATAAATCGAGCTGTCGCGATTTATGGCGCGCACTTTGAGTCATAATCCGCGCTAGACCGGGCGAATTTTCGCGATAAAATAATGAACGGCGCGAGCGGCGTAAATATTAAAGGGGAAATATAGCCGGGATAAATAACAGCGCATACGCGAAACAGCGTGCATATAGCGCGGACGGCGCGAATAATGGGCGTGCGACGTAAATAATAACAATAACAGCGTAAACAAGACGCGCGGAGCGCGCCCTTCATGTGTGCGAAGTAGGTGACAGGCAGGTGAGTCTAAGGCAAAATTGTGTTTGCGGCGGAGCGACTTGGCGGAGCGTAGGTCGTAGTGTGTGCGATCGATAATGCCAAGTTCCTGTAGTTCTTTCGTAAATTCGCGGTTTTCGGGAAGCGCGCACTCTGAAGAATTACCGCGAATTCCACCGCCGGCGTTACGTAATGCATTGTTGGGTCCCGGCCTTAACGCAACTTAATGGGCCTGGCAGACCTCCATATGTATGAACATGCGTACGCGCGCATACCGCGAGATATTCATCTCGCAGCGAGCTCCGAGAGGAGCAGTCGATTTTCTATCGTTCGTTCACCCCGCGCACATTCTTTCGTGACGACGGCAATTTTGCCCCGCGGCGTCTCAACGCCCGTCGAAGTTACGTAAGAATATGGCCTGTTGTACAGTGTACTACAATATCGCCAGTAAATGCCCGCAGTTCTATGTCTTCCTGCGAGCTCATCCACTCCCGGATTGTGCACCGTAGTTGTGCGAGATGCTGCGTAATAATCATACAAAACAAGCAAGAGATCGCTTCTCCGAATGCTTTGTCGTCTAGTAAATATTCGCATTGCCGAAGACTTCTCTTGGTATATAATTTAACTTTTGGTGAAAGAAGTTTTGTTTAAAACTCACAAGGTAGATAGTACTTATTGGGTAAGAAATGTTTAATAAACGAAAGTCGGAAAATCATCTCTTTCAGAGTTACAAATATTTTGCTGTTTAGATAAGACAAGAGAGAGAGAGAGAGTTACTTGTGTGCTTCCACTGATTACACGCGATGAATGAACGAGTATCTTACTTTATATTATTACTTTCTATTATATTATTACAATTATTATAATTTTATTATAGGTAATAACAACGAATTATTATAATTATTATAATTTACTCTATTGTTACTTTGTTATATTATTACAATTACTATAATTTTATTATAGGTTATTACAATGAATTATTATAATTATTATAATTACAATGTTATAACTATATATTTTTATATTATTACTATATATTATTACTTTGTTTACAAAAGGTGTTCACATGTTTTCTCTTTCTCAAAAGTTTTTGGTCTTTTTCGAATCAGTTTCATTTCTACTCAATAACATTTGCGTCGTCATCTTGCTTCAGTACAGCAGTGTTGGACATTAATCGATTGAAGTTTCCTTTGAACAAAATAATCAACAAACCAATAATCGAAATTATAATTAATCGCCATATATAAAATCACAAATAATTTCATCGATTGTGATGAAATGATTTTAATTAGTGTATAATCAACTACATATCAGTGTTTTATTAAGAATTAATTCCATTAATCAATAAAATTATATGTGATTTTATATATGACGATTGATTAAATTTGATTATTGATTTGTCGATTGTTTTAATCAAAAAGAGTTTTTATTAATTAATGCCTAATGTTGCAGCACAGTTGTATAGTCATTTATTTTCATGAGCAATGAGATGACATAGCGTAGAAGAGACGTGGTAACAAGAGTCCCCTCGATTATGTCGGCCTATTATTCCAATCGGGAGATGGCAGACATGCACTTAATGTGTGGTCTTGCCAGCGGGAATACTCTAGTTGCACGACATCTTTGTGCGGAATGGTATCCAAATTGGAAAATTCAATGATACGGAGATGTCAAACGTGTGTAGAAATGTATGGAGAACATGTAAGACACTTTTTATAAATATCAAAGTAATAATGAAATAGCAGTAATGTAAGATATCCTCGTATGTGTTCATATTCTTCGCACGTGATCAATGGAAGCACATAAACAAATTGCGTTACTAAGACCGGAAAACATTTGTAACTCTGAAGAGGTTGATTTATTTCCTATATTTACATCTTTTGCTCAACATAATGAGCACCATCTACCCTGTGAGCCTTGAACACTCTCTGCAATTATAAGTAACAATAATACAAGCGGTGTTCTGATATTTATGCGCATAATCAGCCGGTGGAATAACACGTTCGATGTGAATGGCTGCGAGCGATGCGATAACGATCATCCGAGTGCGAACATAAAGAGCGCGCAGTTAAATCGGACAACCAGCTATAAGCTGAGCCGTGCAACGAAATGCGCGTGATGCCGTGACTCGTTAAAATTGCTCTCGCGATTCACACCGCGAGCCAAAAGAATATGCCCGTTGTTTTAATTTCGACGGTCAGTGCGGCGCGCGGACTCCCAGGCGGAAACGTGGAAATAATTGGCGCGCTATCGAATCGACGACGATGTCGTTACCTTCCGGCGCACCTGACGCGGCCTCACCTCTCCCCCGGGACCCGTCGCCGAGGCCCCGGGGCGGTACACGACAAGGTCGGGGGTGAGCCGAGTTTAATTTAGCCGTCACGCCGCGCCAACGGGATCGATACATCGTAACCACATCAGCGGAGTTACGCCTCGTGAGTGCCACCTTAACTTCGCCGGTGACGCGTCGAAAGGAAAGGAAACCCCTAAACCAGATTCCGCTTCCGGAACGACGCCTGACTTGCCGCGACTTGCCGTCAGCAAGCGTGGCGAAAGCCGGCTCGAGGAAATAAGAGATGGACGATTCCTCTACGGATGTTTCTCTACGTTCGCGGTGAAAACGTTGATCTTGCGCTCGACCCGAGACTTCGGTGTATCTCATCCCGGCATTAAACCTCGCGGAGAAAGTCATCATCGTCTGATTTGGTGGTTCTGCCGTTTGAGGATCTTCTTTAGGCAAGGCCGCGCGTTCTACGGGCTGAAAAACTTGGTGGCCTTCGTGTTTACAGGTTCGAGACGCCGGTGCGTTCGGTAAATCCTTCGCCGGCGAATTAGTAGTCGGCGGATCCTCGCGCTTGCCGGAAGCCTGCATCCGAATCCTCGATTCATCCCGAGCCGCCGGTTGCCGCATTCCGGTATCCAAGTTTCGCGCACGTGCAATGCCTGAAGTTTGATAGCCAATTTATGCTATCGCGCTATCAGTTGTCTACTGCTAAACAATTTCTGCATATACTGCCGCAACAAAGTCCATTATAAATCCCCTTCCAGCCCGGCTGGGTATGAGTATGTCGCTCTTCGAAAACCGCCAGTTAACAGGACGTGTCGTAATGAATCTTCCGAAACGTCCTATTAATTTATGCTGTTATTATCGAGCATCTATCGGCAAGCGACACCTCGCCTTACTCGCAACGCAACGAAACGTATTTTTATCGTGAGGAATCCCGGGATCGCACAGAATATGCATGTGTGCGTGTTAAGACAGCAACAAAGCGTTTCTATCGTAAAAGCATTTGCTAAGGCATTTCTACCATAAAGCATCCTTGTCGCGAAAGCACCTACTAAAGCATTTCCGGTACGAAGCATTTGTTATCTATTCTACCCATTGTACTTAGGGATTTATCCACTTAGCGTCCAACATTAATTATTTTCCGGCAAAACAATTGGCGCACCCCGCCATGACAACGGAGAGCCGCGAATAATGTCTCTCGTTGTTCCTGCAAAATGATAAAAACTGTAATTGCGCTCTGAAACTCGCAGTGTATCGGACGACCGTGCTCGATCTTCATTATTTCGGTATATTTAGCTTCATATTAGAGTTCAGTTTAAAGCGATTAATCATAGAGGGCGTTCTATCATACCTCTAACGCGCGTTGTTTATTTGTTTTTGCAGAACATTTTGGACAAGTTCAACCCTGGCGCCAGGCAGCTGATTAACGCGGGCAAGGCGTACCTGAAGGCCCTTCACGGTGAGTGAATTAAATCGAGCATAGCGGCACGCAAGCCGGAAGAGAGAAATAGAAACAGGCGGTCGCGGGAGGTGGCACGAAGGATGGAAAGAAAGTCAAGAAAGAAGTTCGCGTTGGCCTCTTGGGTCCTGTTGTAGGATCGAATTGCCAGGTTGCCAGCATCGCTGGTTTCGCCTTTGCCCTCCCCCCGCCTTTTTCTATTTCCTTCTTTATTTTTATCTCGCGATGTATACTAATTAATTTACTTCGCGCGAATTAACGGCACACATATATTTAGTTCCATTTATCGTTATTATATTCATTAATTTAATAACATGCAACATTTACGACTAGCAATATTAAATGTCTCGAATATTTGCAATTAATATCGAGATTAAATTAATAATATTATACATCTTATATTATTAATTTAATTTTATATGAAAATAAACAAACGACTCGCTGGACTCGCAATTTGGAATCGATCTTCCTCGTAACGGGCGTACTCCGATGATGAAAGTTTGCAAGGATATTATTTTTTTTAGAGAACTATATGTATTAGTGTATTAATACAAATAAGGATATTAACGCAGATAATTATTAGAATAGAAGGATAATTTAGATAATTCAGTATGGAAATATTTGAGTTGCGAGGAATATTGAAGCCTCGATGACCGAATTGATACGGCTTCCCGTCTGATAAGTGGGAAGAAGTCCAGGTTAGAATCCTAGACTGAGACCATATCTTTCAAAACTTTGAAAGTGAATCAAATAAATGCACAATTCAGTTGGGATAAGAGGAAGTCAATTAAAGTAATAATTGGAATTATTCAGGGTCGGTTTGACGTGAAAGGTAGATTCATTCATTGTATGCGTTGTAAAGCCCAGAGAATTTCGACGCGCACGTTTAACATTGTCAAACAGTATTATCTTGCCATTGTAATAGTTATTCGTACCAACCGCAATTCAGTGCATGGCTGTTACTGGTTTTACATATAGTTCTCTTAGAATGATTAAATATGTAGTTTAGACATTATTTTTGTTTCAGTGTTAAACATTTTATTCATTATATTATATGGGTTAAAGTTTACAAGGGAGCCTCGCGAACATGAAAATTCAGATTTTGATACGAAACTTGGCATAAATGTAGGTTGGTCAAATAAAGAAAAATTTAGAAATTTTCAACTGGAACGAAAAAACGCGGTTTGAAGTACTTTTGAAGCACGTATGAAGAGGCAAAACCGCGCTTCAAAGGTACAAAGGTTCTCGTTTTTTTAATATCTCGTAAACTAAATAAAATACCAAAAAACATTTTATACAGGAGTTTTATAGAAAAAATTTATAGTATTATGAATCCACAAATCTCTTTCATGCCCTTTTTTTGCATCAAAGGATAACATTTTAAAAATAATTCTTTTCGAATAATGAATGGCGCGGTTAAATATTTTCCCTAATAAAACTTTGGCATAAAATGTTTTGATATTCTATTTAGTTCACGAGACATATGGAAAAAATACGAAAACCTCTGTATCTTTAAAGGACGGTTTCACTCCTTCATAAGTTGTATTTTCGCGTCGACTAAAAATTTCTCAATTCATCTATTTGTCCATCCTACATTTATATCAAGTCTTATTAAAATCTGAATTTTCGGGCTCGCGGGACTTCTCTCTTAATTGGTAGTCTGTGCAGTTTTCGACGCGCGTTTAGGGAGATACTCTGTATATTTCTGTCTGCCCGTCGCTTCTGTATATATGTGTACACACATTCCTCTTTCCACCTCTTTCGCACCTTCGCACTTTCGTGGCCGGGTCAGATCAATCACCTTTGGGGATTAACCCGCTGACCCTGAAACGGATGTTCGCGTGCCGCCGCCATGTGGGTCGCGTGCTACTCGCATGGGATATCGCCCCCGGTGCACCTGAGAATGGAAATTAGAATGAAAATGACGGTAGAAATAGTGGGTCACCCGATTTCATATCGTCCCTACGACAGATAATGCCGTACACGGATTTCACGTAAGAGACGAGAGGGAAACGATGACAGAGATGATGCGTAATGACGCCTGATTAGCACAATAGTGGCGTGATGGCAGTGTTCCATAGCATCCCGTCGTGGCCAGTAATTGTCGGCGATGATAATATCTTGAAGTATAAACCGCGATCTCGCGCGACGATGCCGCGGGGGTTGAATCGCGGCCCGGCGATATATCACGCGCGATCTTGGCGAGAGTTCTCTCCGGATGGAGCCCGGCGGTTCTCGTTGATGGCTAGAAATTTGTTTAAGAAGAGCCGGGGAAAATAGTACTCGGCGGCGGAAAGTAGTTTGCGCAGCGGCGCAGTCGACTTTACATTAAAAGTGACTTAAAAGTTTCGCGCGGAGCCGCCGGCCTTTGATGTAACAGCATTACTCGGACGGCAGAGCGAGACAGAGAAAGACGGAGAGAAAATGAGAGGCCAGAGAGGGTGATGCTCTCTTGCTAAGGGTGAGACACGCCATTGCCCGGCGGACGAGAATCGACTCGCACATTCTACCACCTCCTCCGCGAAACGTTTAATTAATTTTTGTCCCCCTCCTAGTTTCTCCTGGAGATGAGTTCGCGCTTCCTCTACGTGCTATCGTTCACGCTCGTTTCCGTGTTGCGCGCGCGCGCGCGCGCGTTGCAACTATCATACGCGTGATGCAATATTATTTCTTGGAAAAACATCCCGGAGAGAAAAGTTCACCCGCCAGTTTCCCACCGCCGATCACCGGTAAATTATGCTATCGCTACATCCGGTAGTTTTGGAGGACGTGCTTTATAGATAGCACGGCCGAACGCTCGAACTCCCCGAGAAAACGAACGAACGAACGAACGAACGACTACTCCTCCGTGTAAGGGTTGAACTATTGGACGCGATAAGGTCGCGGCGTTTCGCTCTTAAAGAGAGAGCGACGCGATTGTCGCGACGGGTTCGTATTATGGCAAAGTTCTCGGACAAACAGAATCGCGATAATTTCCTCCGCAGTACGGCGTCGGGAACTTTTTTATCTCGGCGCGATTAGGGTCGCGAAACGGAGAGCCTGAGGGAACGTTGAAAGAGCGGCGCAACGGGGCGACGGGGCAAGGGGAGATGGCAAGGGGAGCAAAGAGTGGAACAGGGTAGATGGGCATCGCACAAAGGTCGGTGCAACTTCCTTAACAAGTTCCGCGCGCGCGCCAGGAAAGAGGACTAACTCGATTAGGAATTAATTTTTGACGAGCCGCGGAAGACGAGACAAAAGGGAGATTTCTTCGAATGGCGCGCCGGAAGCTGGACGGTAAGAAGAGGCGGGGAGAAGGGGGAAGTGTGCTGATGAAAGGAGGGTTAGGAATTAAAGCGAAACCGGAGCTCTTCGGTGCCGCCTTCAGAGAGAAACGAATTGCATCCGGTTTTTCCCCGACGCCGGCAGATTTTTCACCCTCCGTCGCGTTATTCGATTTTCACCCGATGCAAAAGTTGTATGTTCCTCGGTTCATCGCGCCACCTTTCATCCGCGGACCCTCGGACGGGCACTCTTTCAGCGAGGATTTAATTGGGGTCTGTTATTTGCCGTCGCGCTTTCAAGAGTCCGGCGTTAAGTATCTTAAAGATCAAGTTGCCAATTAAATTCCGCGCTTTAGAAGCGCAATGTCGTAAATGTGTCCTCGTACCCAAGTCTCGTTGCAAACTGATCTCTCATTTTGACAGCAATTACTGCAAACCCTTCTCGATACATAGCCTGTTTCAATTCGATTGATGAATTATACATACCCTGAATTCAATCGAAATGTCTCAAGTAATTATGAATTCGTCTCTTAGAAGGTATTCGATACTTTGTCGAATATCTTCCGACATCTCTTAACTGACGTTATGAAATAAATGTAGAGTCTCGCATTAGTTTGCATAAGTTCCTTAAATAAGCGTTAATTTTTTCCTCTTCGAGATCCGCCTTTTCATCGAGTTTCTCTAATTACTCTTTCGCACAATCGGAACGCGGATAAATTCCCGAATGAATTGTCGATCTCTTTAATTTCCCGATCGACCTCCGGCGTTATCAAAACGCGATTCGCAAGCTTAAAATGGCGAATGTAGCCCGACCTCGTCGCCACTTGGAGCAGTCTTTGTTATCCGCGGAATTAATTTGTTCCACCGGCAGGAACTCGCCGATCGTCGAACTTACACTCATCCCTCCTCACCGCCATCCCCTTTCGGTCTCTCGCTCCCCCGACGAGCTATATTCCCGCGTCCTATCACGAACCGACTCCACGACAATTTATAACGAGTCGTCGAGCCACTTTGAGGGCTCTGCTCTGGATCCTACAGGAACCTCGTCCTTTCTCCGATTCTCTGGCATCCTGTCGCCTCTCCTAAGGATGCCACTTAAATACCAGGAGTTTCGCATTTCCAGCCGATTGATGGGTGCGCGACGCGCTTCCTTGGAATATTATCATTCTCTCGCGTACATTATAAAGTACCTGACTAAGTGAATTCTCAAAAACGGATTGTCGCTATTCGGAGAAAAGATTCAGCATTAAGCACGTTGTTAATAAATGAATAAAAGTAACTGTCTATAATGAGAACACATTATTCGCACTTAGCGAACGGTGAACAACAGTCGTAGATATTTCTATACCAATACGAAAACGGGAATATCAGTTTATCAAGATGAATCGGGATTCTACACTCAGTTGTCTAGGTCGCGAAACACTTGAGTGCGTTGCGATGGAGACTCGTTTGTGCAGATCAGGCCTCGTTTGGGCGAATGCGTGATTTGATCTCGGCGCTTCCGTGCGCTCGTCAAGCGATTTTCTGGCGCTGACTCTTACGGCTTTGAATAATCATTCGAATTACGTCTCTCTCTCTCTCTCTCTCTCTCTCTCTCTCTCTCTCTCTTTCTGCTCGTTTTGGCTC